TAAAACATTTGATAAAATTCAACATCTCTGCATGATAAAAATTTTGAACAAAGTAGAAGGAATATCTTTTATCATTATAGTAAGGCAAATTAAACAGGTATATTTCATTAGGTAGCTAATGAAGAGAATACTATGTGGTATTCATGCAGGAAAATAACTTTATTTACTGAACTGCTGCCCCCTGCCATGCATGCTGGAGAGGCATGACCGAAAGAGGCAACCCATCACTGGGCCAGGACTTTCTAGGCCAGAGATGGGAAGAGGTATGGCCAGGTGGGGGAAAGGTATAGCCATACTGGATCTGGATGTGATCTCAGGGCCTGGTGCCCTCCTCTGGTCAGATAGGAGGCCTGATCTGGAGCAGCCTAGGTTTTCTTTGCTCTCCTTGCTTGTTCTTCTCTGTGTCTCTCTAAGTGAAGTCCCTCTGTTGATCTTTATCCCTGCCTCCCAGCCATCTCCTCTAGAAAGATAACATTCCAGGTCTTAAAGTTCCATCTGTCTGCCCATCTGTCTTTCTTTCTCATGACCTCCAGATTGGAGATCATCTGCCACTGGATGCTATTGGAACATCTGCCAATGAGTCACATCTCCATTCCAACAGACAAGGGCTTAGGCCCTTGAGAATGTGACACAGGATGGACCTAGGGTCCCCCTGTAGGTTCCGTCTTGAAGGCTAGCCAAAAGGGGCCTGAATTCTCTTTGCTAAAACACTCTCTCTCTCACACACACACACACAATCTGTTTCTCCTTCCACCCCTCTCTCTGTCACACACACACTCACATACACACACACTCTCTCTCTCATTGTCTCTCTCCTCCAGTGCACCCACAATCTGTTACAGTGTACTCCTTCCTTTCTGTCTGTCTGCATTTTTTTTTTATTTTGCCAGTCCTGGGGCTTGAACTCAGGGCCTGAGCATTATCTCTTTTGCAACTGGAATTTCAGAAAACTTACAGCCTATTTTCATTGTACTTAAATCTAAGTATACCTTAAAACTTTTGTGCACAAGTGTGTGTGTGTGTGTGTGTGTGAGAATATGTTTAATATAACATCATTTTAATATATAAAAGCTGTCACAATGAACCAATGTGTGAAGAGTCAAGAGAACTGGGAAAATATTTGTAAATTATTCATTTGTCAATTATTATTTAGAATATATAAGAAACTCAAACTGCATATAACTTAAACAAGTAAGACAATTAAAATGAAAAGTAGGAAAATTTTCTGAATAGATATTTCTCAGAAATAAATACAGGATGTGGAAAAAAGAATCCTTAGCCACTAAGCAAATGCATATCAAGACCATAATGAAGGATTATTTCACCTCATTTAAAGGCTCAAATCTAAACAACACAACAACAAATGCAGAAATATAGCTGTGGGCTCTAATGGTAGAGCATTAGCCTTGAGCAAACAGGGTAAGGGATATCATCCTGGCCCAGAGCATTTTACTTTGTTTTTATATAAATATCAGTATCTCTGATGTTTTCCTTAGGGTTAAATAATTAAATTTTCACATTTAATTGATAAATTTATTCATGACTCTTGTTATATATTTTTTTTATTTTAGGAAAAATTATTTAGCTTCTTACAAGCAAAGAAAGGACATTTTACCTTTGTGTGTGAGAACCTTGTGTGTGTGTACAGGTCCTCGGACTTGAACTTGAGACATGTGCACTGTCCTGGAGCTCTTTTCCTCAAAGTCAGCAATCTACCACTTAATCCACAGGTCTACTTCTGGCTTTTTTTGGTTTTGTTAGTTACTTGGAGATAAGTGCTGAAATAAGGATACTGGATCTAGTAACATCTCCATGTTCTCATAGCCATTCTACTGTCTCACTTGAGGGCCTTTCCACCCAGCTCTGAAAGGCCTAGGGGTGACAAAGGCCATTCGTTGAATTGCAGATGTCATGCTGTTTAGCTCCAGGAAAGCTTTGCTATAGAAAATACTTGCCCCTGACTGTTTCCCTAAATTGTTTGATTTGCTTGCCCCTGAGTATTCAACTATATGGAAAATTTCCTATTTTCCTTGATGGAAAGTTTTGCTTGTCTTGTGAGTTCTTCCCTATATGGTCTCTTATTTTATTTTTGGATTGGGTCTCTGCTCCAAACATGTGATTTTTGTCTTTTAAAGCTTTGTGCTTGCTACATTCTCGGCTGAGACACCAGTTCACCTGCAATCATAGGATTTATAATGAAGACTCCTAATTTGACTTCTCAAATGTAGCTTCTCTCACAACTGGATACCCATATAACAGCATTTCATGGACTTTCCTGCCAGACTGACGTTGAATTCTCAGATCTCAGTATTCTGAATGCTAGCCATCAGCACCCTGTTTGAACATAAATTTGCATATTTACATATTCAAAGACAAACCCCATCATTTTTATTAGTTTATTTGATTTTCTTCATGATTATTTTTGATAGCAATTTTCAGTTATTGATGTTTGAAAACATATTTGATAATCATAGCTAACCAAAGGTAGCCTATGGCTTGTTTTCAAAATAAATATTCTTCTTAATTTTTTCCATGCTTATGATATTGCTTCTTAAAAGCAGGTTCTTTATATGATCACTGTTTTCTTGGCTATAGCCATTTTATTCTAAATCATGTCTATGAGATTTAAAGTTATTAATTTTTGCATATATTTAATCCAGAAATATGGGTTTCTGTGTTTTGTTTGTTTACAGTTGTGGGAAGCTGTGTCACAGATGGCATTATAGTATATTAAGTAAACTGGACATTTAATGTCTCAAGTTCTTAAGGGCTGAACAAAAATCATTAAACACTTCTAAATTCAATCTTCTGTATTTGGAAGTCATTACCACACAACTGAAATTAGGTAAGTCTATTGATTATACAAAGCAATGAACACTGACAGAAACCTTTGTGACAACCAGGTCAAAATTAAGCAAATAGGATATTGATTAGAACAGGGAAGAATGAAAATTAACTGGGACAAATAAGTCTCAGGTAACCTGAGAAACATATAAGTACAGATCTTAGGAATGGAACAAACTGAGGCCTGGCATTTACTGAAATTTGCAAAGTGAGTAAGATTAGGGCCAAACTTGAAAGGCAGCATCTTCCTGTAGAGAAAAACTCCAGGATAGTCATTAAAAGGGAAAATTCTAAAGATAAAGGCTTGACTAAATTGATGAGTTAAACACCAGGTTACTAGAATTCAGTAAATAACAGGAAAAGAAAGAGCCAGAAAACCTGTAACGTTGTTTGATTTTGGGTATGATAAATAAGAAATTTGGACTCTGTTTTTCTTTCAAGGACTTATTACTTTGCTTTTAGGTACTGTAATTGCTATTTCACTGACTTCTTTAATGGGAAGATTTGGGATAATGTCATATTTCTGGAGTAAATATATGCAAAAATTAATAACTTTATATATCATAGACATGATTTAGAATAAAATGACTATAGCCAAGAAAACAAACAGTGATCATATAAAGAACCTGCTTTTAGGAAGCAATATCATAAACACGGAAAAATTAAGAAAAATATTTATTTTGAAAACAAGCCAGAGACTATCTTTGGTTAGCTGTGACTGTCAAATATGTTTTCAAACATCAATAACTGAAATTTGCTAACAAAAATATTCATGAATAAAATCAAATAAACTAATAAAAAATGGGTTTGTCATTGAATCTGAAATATGCAGATTTGAGATAAATGGCGTATTGCCTTAGTTATAACTTTGACTTGTGACTATAATTTATGGCCTTGGTTATTGGAATGACTAGAATTATAATTGCCATTTTGTAATCACTAACTGATAGCTTTGCTTCTGTAACTTGCTTCTTTGATCATTGTGAAACTACCACTGGCCACCTGGGTATGGCACCTCCTCTTCCATGAATCTTGCCTTTAAATACCCTAAGATATTTGACATTATGTCTGATCTTCACTGTCTTGGTATAGTGGAGGTCAGATGTCACGCAGCAAATAAAAATATTCCTAGCCCTATTGACTGAGTGTTGGTGATCTTGGGTTTGAGTCCAACAGGTCCCGGGAAGCTCGGATATTTCACCTTGGGTTTAGATTTAAAGTGGGCTTTGGCTTATGGAATATCAGACTGAGAGTCATTTTGGGACAATAGATAATAATACTTAAAGAAATTTGCTGGTTCAAAAAGTTGTTCTTCCCCCTTCTCTGCACTTTGGGTTTTTTTGTTGTTTTAAACAGGCTTTAGTTACTTATAGTCAAGGCAATCCAAAAATATTAAATAATAATTTACAGAAATAGATGACATTACTTTAAGAGTAGTCTTTGTTTAGAGTTACATGATGAAATCTCCTTTTCTCTTGCCTCCAAACCCTTGGGATGTGAATTATTCTTATCTGGCTTATCCATGTTGCTTTTGCTACCTGGCCTTCTCTCACAAAGTAGAAGGCCACAGAATCATGTGTTAATGCTCAAATAACCATTCTTTTCCTTAATCAGAGACCTAAACTATAAGGACAGTGAGGCTAGAAGTTGAGACTGTTACAAGGTAATTCTTCATTCAATCATGGATAAGCGTATGCTGTAGCTAAACAGCATGATGCATCTGCATATTTAAGGAAAGGCCTATCTCACCTCTTGGCTTTTGGTAGCTGGATGAAAAGCCTCTACCAACAATGGAGACACCAAGATGGCAGTGAGAACCAGTATCCTTATTTCAAGACAAGATAAAGATAATCCAGGAAGTGTCTCTTCTAAGTAAAAAGATGAAAATTTACACTTTAATAAAGAAAGTAACAGAGGGAGGGGGGGAGGAGGGTGGCGCGCGGCCGGGGTGGGGTGGGGGGAGGGTCGGGTGTCAGCTCGTGCAGCTTCCCAGTAGGCACAGGTAGCCTGGGCTGCTGGGAGGACACCTGGGTGGCTGCCTCCGCCACCGCGCCGAGCCAACTGCGAGATGGTAATCTTGGGCCCGGAAGGATGAGGGAGCCCACCGCAGGAGGAGGCGCCTTCGCTGACGCTGCTGCTGCCGCCTCCGCCGCCCCCGCGGGGGCTGCCCGGCCACCCGGAGCCGACTGCTTCGCCCCGGGGGTTATCTCTTCAGCAGACTATGAGCTCCTTGAAAGAAAGAATCGTGTCTTACTCATCTTTGTGTCCCCAGTGTCTAGTACAGTTCCTGATACATAACATAAACTGAATTTTGGGACATGGCCACTGCTTCACCAAGGTTTGATAGTAGTGATAACCACAGTGGAAGGTTACAGTTAGAGGTAACTGTTTCTAGTGCCAAACTAAAAAGAAAAAAGAACTGGTTTGGAACAGCAATATATACAGAAGTAACTGTTGATGGAGAAATTTAAAAAAACAGCAAAATCCAGTAGTTCTTCTAATCCAAAGTGGGATGAACAGCTGACTGTGAATGTGACCCCACAGACAACTTTAGAATTTCGAGTTTGTAGTCATCACACTTTGAAAGCAGATGCTTTATTAGGAAGAGCAATGGTGGATTTGAAACCAGTCCTTTTAACGCACAATAGAAAATTGGAAAAAGTGAAGGAACAATTAAAACTCTCTTTGGAAAACAAGAACGGCATAGTACAAACTGGTGAGCTAACAGTTGTACTTGATGGACTGGTGATCGAGCCAGAAAATCTAGCAAATTGTAGCTCATCTCCAACAAAAATACAACAAAATGGGGATGCCTTACATGAAGATGGAGACCCTTCGGCAAGGACAGCTACCAGGTTGTCTCTTGAAGGTACTAATGGAATAGATAATCATGTACCTACAGATACTGTCATCTCAAACTTGTGCTGTTCATATGTAGTTAATGGAGACAACACACCTTCATCCCCGTCTCAGGTTGCTGCCAGACCCAAAAATACACCAGCTCCAAAACCACTCACCTCCAAGCCTGCCAATGACACTGTGTCACCTCTTCACGTGTTTTCTCCCAGCTTTTACTCTCCTGACTCCCCATCCCCAGAAGTTGTTCAGTTCATTTTCAACATAGTGTCTATTAATGGAGAATCATCTTCATCTGCACTAACTGCTAATGCTTCTGCCATGGGTACTCCAGTACCATCGGAAGAACCCACATTGACTTCAGATTGCATTAGGACTACCATCAAAGATTCTTCTGTTCAGGAGCTACTGGCATCCTCAGAACACAATGAATGTATTCCTTCTATCAGTACAGAATTGGGATCTGAAACTCAGAACGTATTAGACCTTAACTCCTCTAATTCTGGAAGTAGTTGTGCTTTTGACAAATTAAGGCAATCAGATGGATGTGTGGGGCCTCTTCGGCAGCAGTCTGGGAATGCAAATACAGAGTCTTTGCCATCAGGATGGGAACAGAGAAAGGACCCTCATGGTAGAACCTATTATGTAGATCATAATACTCGAACTACCACATGGGAGAGACCACAACCTTTACCCCCAGGTTGGGAAAGAAGAGTTGATGAGCGTGGGAGAGTGTGCTATGTGGATCATAACACCAGAACAACAACATAGCAGCGTCCCACCATGGAGTCTGTTCGAAACTTTGAACAGTGGCAATCTCAGCGGAACCAATTGCAGGGAGCTATGCAACAGTTCAACCAACGATACCTCTGTTCGGCTTCAATGTTGGCTGCAGAAAATGACCCGTATGGACCTTTACCACCAGGTTGGGAAAAAAGAGTGGATTCAACTGACAGGGTTTACTTTGTGAATCACAATACAAAAACAGCCCAGTGGGAAGATCCTAGGACTCAAGGCTTACAAAATGAAGAACCTCTGCCAGAAGGCTGAGAAATTAGGTATACTCGGGAAGGTGTTAGGTATTTTGTTGATCATAACACAAGGACAACAACATTCAAAGATCCTCGAAATGGGAAGTCATCTGTAACAAAAGGTGGTCCACAGATTGCTTATGAACGCAGCTTTAGGTGGAAACTTGCTCACTTCCGTTATTTGTGCCAGTCTAATGCACTTCCCAGTCATGTAAAGATCAATGTGTCCTGGCAGACGTTATTTGAAGATTCCTTCCAACAGATTATGGCATTAAAACCATATGACTTGAGGAGGCGATTATATGTAATATTTAGAGGAGAAGAAGGACTTGATTATGGAGGTCTGGCAAGAGAATGGTTTTTCTTGCTTTCACATGAAGTTTTGAACCCAATGTATTGCTTATTTGAATATGCGGGCAAAAACAACTATTGTCTACAGATAAATCCAGCATCAACCATAAATCCAGACCATCTTTCGTATTTCTGTTTCATTGGTCGCTTTATTGCAATGGCACTATTTCCTGGGAAGTTTATTCATACTGGTTTCTCTTTACCATTCTACAAGCCATATGCTAAGTAAAAAACTTACTATAAAGGATCTGGAGCCCATTGATACTGAATTTTATAACTCTCTTATCTGGATAAGGGATAACAACATAGAAGAATGTGGCTTAGAAATGTACTTTTCTGTTGACATGGAGATTTTAGGAAAAGTCACTTCACATGACCTAAAGTTGGGAGGTTCCAATATTCTGGTGACTGAGGAAAACAAAGATGAATATATTGGCTTAATGACAGAATGGCGTTTTTCTCGAGGAGTACAAGAACAGACCAAAGCTTTCCTTGATGGTTTTAATGAAGTTTTTCCCCTTCAGTGGCTACAATACTTTGATGAAAAAGAATTGGAGGTTATGTTGTGTGGCATGCAGGAGGTTAACTTGACAGATTGGCAGAGAAATACAGTTTATCGACATTATACAAGAAACAGCAAGCAAATTATTTGGTTTTGGCAGTTTGTGAAAGAGACAGACAATGAAGTAAGAATGCGACTATTGCAGTTTGTCATTGGAACCTGCCGCTTATCTCTAGGAGGATTTGCTGAGCTCATGGGAAGTAATGGGCCTCAAAAGTTTTGTATTGAAAAAGTTGGCAAAGACACCTAGTTACCAAGAAGCCATACATGTTTTAATTGCTTGGATCAACCACCATATAAGAGTTACGAACAACTAAAGGAAAAACTTCTTTTTGCAATAGAAGAGACAGAGGGATTTGGACAAGAATGAATGTGGCTTCTTTCTTGGAGGAGCTCTTGCATTTAAATACCCAGCCAAGAAAAATTGCACAGATAATGTATATAAGCTGTTCATTCTGTACAGTGAATTTTCTGAACCTCTCAAAGTATAAATGTTTTCCATTCTTCTACAGAAATATGTAAAACAGTTCATCGTTTTCTACTTTATTTATTTTTCCCTTGAAATGACTGACCAGGAAAAAAATCATCCTTAAACTTTGAAGCAAGCAAGACTTTATTAAAAATAAGTATATATCTATATAAACATATATGATTATGGCTCTAGTTTTATAGAGCTCCAAGTATTAAATATGCCAGCTGTTCCTTCATAAAGATATGATTTGCTTTACCTTTTCTGTTGTCCAGGGAGAAGTGCAAATTGTCCCATGGTCATCTCTCTTAGGTAATCATTCCTAAAGGTATTTAGTTGCATGGCTGTTCAGGAAGGTATTAAGGGCTTATGCCAAATCTTACCTGACTATATTAAAAATGCTGCTGGCTTTTATGAAGACAGGTGCTTGAACCTGTCCATTTGTTTTAAATGAATAGTTGATAAACTCCCTCTTTGCTCTATCAGTAATAACAGTTAAAGTAACGAATGAAACCTTAACTTACATGGAGCTCATGTACTCAATCCAATAACTGTTAGAGATTGGGAAGAACTCATTGAGCAATGGAGAGATTTGTTTACATGTTTCTTTGGGATGTTAGGTATTTATGGAATTTTAAAGAATCAGGCATTTCTGTACTTGTTTTTTTCAATGTGATGTTCTTCAGATCTACTAGTAATAAATTGATAGTTTGATATTTAGGAACATAAAAATGGTAATGTAGACTCTGCCACTTTTGTTTGTGTTCAAGCTTTGGCATTATAAAAACAGATAGATTGAATAAAAACAGATGAGTTGAAAAGTTAAAAAAAAAAGAAAGTAACATCATATATTAAAGTTCCTATGATCCACAGCACAGTTTTGGGAGAGACCACATTCACATAACTTCTATTATAGTATATATTATATTAATGCATTTTATTATTTTAATCTTTTTCTTGTAAACTTTAAAAATATTTAAAGTAATTGCACAAAGGTGTTTCAATTCCATCAATCACATTATGAGTACAAGGTATCTTTGTGGGGGGGAGGGGAAGTTTGCTGGTTCTAGGGCCTGGAAGTTTTTAGTCAAAGTGGCTGGCACTCTACCATGTAAGCTACAGCTCTGCTTCTGGCTTTTGTGGTAGTTACTTGGAGTTTCATAGATTTTTCTTGCCCAAGTTGGCTTTGAAACTTGATCCTCAGATCTCAGTTTCCAGAGTACCTAGAATTACAGGCATGAGCCTCTGGCATCAAGCTAGTACAATGTATTTTGATCAGTGCCAATTCTTCCATTTGTCTCCCCCACATTTCCCAATCCTATTCATGCTTTTGTTTTATAGTTCAATTTTTTTTCATAATTTACATTGAATATTATGACTGTATTTGCCCACACTTTCTCCTTCCTTCCTTTCATCTGACCATCCCATCTTCTCCCAGCAAAATACATTCCATCTTCTTTTTGTCTCTTTCAGTGACTAAGATAAAAATTAAATTGTATGCAAATGTAGGCAATGTATAGTATAAATTGAATCCAGCCTTCCCTATGGTTTCAAGTGTCACTGGGGATACTGGAATTTATTTTCATCTTTAGGGAAGGGTGCTGAATTTTCCATGAAGCCAGATACCTGTCTCTTAATTAATTTTCTGAAGTCCTGCTTTCTTCACCTTACTTAAATCCTTAAAAGAAGAATATTTTGAAAATAATTTGAAGATCTCATTCACTTTTCCCATGTATTTATAGATGAAATATATAGATAGGGCTTCTTAATTAAAAGTTGACATCTTCCTTATTGCTACCTGCTAAAAAGGAGCCATCTTACTCAATAAAGCTCCATTGTTTTAAGATAAAAAAGAGAAACCTAGGAGACATCTTACTCAATATAGCTCCATTGTTTTAAGATAAAAAAAAAGAGAAGCCTATCTCTATTAATACTACATCAAATAATTCTGGTGCAGTTTATATAAATTCATATAAATTGTCATGATAACTTCATATTGGAAATTGAGGAGCAGCAATGGTATGAGCCAAAATGGGATGAAGGAGAATTTCAAAATCATTCAAGAGAGAGAAAAAGATTATTTAACAATGACCAATAACCACATAACAAGAAATAAAGATCATGGATCATAGTTGAATGGAGATAAATGAAGAAAGAGTACAGCTTTGAGCCCCAAGAGGATGGAGAGCAACATGTTACTTTAACCTCTAGCTGATGCTGTCAACTTATTTGGTTCTTTGACAGTTTGCACCTTTCTTATTATTGAATAAATTCATATATATAAATATATATAAGAAATTGTACAAATTATATATGTATATATGGTTTATATACATACAAATATGCAATGTATATTTATATATATAATTCATATATTTTATACATATAATGTAAGAAACTATACAAAGAGGTTACAATTCCATGTCATGTTAGGAGTATAATCCATCTTGATCAATGTCATCCCTTCCATTATTCTCCCCCATTTTCCACTTTGCATCAATAAATTCTGACATTTTCAGAAGACACAAGATTGGACATCTATTTCTGGCATTACTCACTCACACTATAGTGTCTTGTGCTTTTGCCTCAGTCAATCTCACACTCTGTCCCTCGAGTTGTTAATGTTAGGAAAATGGAGGAGAAGGAACAGGCCAGACTAGATTTCAACAGGCAAGGATGAATACATCAGCAAGGGGCAAGTAACTTTCCCATAGGAATAGAGTCTGTGTGAGGAGGTGGAGTTGGAGTCTTAAAAAACAAACAGAAAAATAAAAATTAGCTGAAGTCATTTAGGGGCTAAGGTCATGTACTTTAGGTGAAGCCCAGAAAGAAATGCTCTGCCTGGGGTTGATGGGAAAGGTTGCAATGACCTGCCGGTAGTCAAGCAGAGACTGATCCTTCAGTTAATATTATAGTCCTTATAAATACGGTAGAAACAATAGCAAGAGAGAAAAAAATCATTTGAATCCTTACCTTGGGGTTCATTTTACCTAACATCAACTTACCTGAACTTTTCTCCTTGTCTCATACATATGGTATAATCTGTGGAGGGGAAGGGAAAAACAAATAGTTTAAATAGGGATACAGGTGGACCCATTGCAACAATGAGATGTACAAGTCGTTATGTCAAAAAATGAACTTTACAACTTTGGCTGGGGGAGAGTTGTGGGGGGGAAGGGGGGGGATGAGAAGGGATGGGAAGGGGAAACAAAGGAGAAGGCAATAATTCTTGATAAGAAATGCACTCATCACCTTGCCCATGTGATTGTAACTCCTCTGTATGATATTTTCACAATAAAAAAATTATAGTCCTATACTGTTATGTCCAGCTTGTTTTTGAAATAGGATCTCACTAACTTTTGCCTTCAATGGCTTAGAACTGAAGTCCTCATAACTCCTCCTTCTCACAAGTAAAGTAGCTGGGATTGCAAGTATTCACCACCCTCTTGGCCAGTTGAGTTCCTTCAAACTGAGTAGAGAATTCTTTCATATCTATCTATCTATATATATTCATGTCAATTTTTACAAGTAAGAAATAAGCATATGCTTGCTAAGTGTTAAAAAGAATCTTTTATTATTTGTTAATTCTGTGTGTGTGTGTGTGCATGGGTGCACAAGAAGAAGGCTTGAACTTAAGACCTTGGTGATTTCTCTAAGCTTTTCTGTTCAAGGCTGGTGCTCTACCACTCAATCCACACCCAAACTTCTTGCTTTTGCTAGTTAATTGGAGGTAAGAGACTCTCAGACTTCCTTGCTCAAGCTGGCTTCAAACCACAATCTTCAGATAGTAGGCCCTTGAGTAGCCAGGATTATAGGCTAAGCCACCAGCATCTTTCTCTACTTGTTGATTTTTGATGATGAATAACAAAAAATAGATAAAGTGTTAATACAGCTGAGGGTTTTGATCTAATAATCATTAATATGGCAGCAATACCATATTTGTTACCTAATATTCTTAGCTTTGAGAACAAAGAGTTCTACATTGATTGTGGGCAATAAGATCTAGAATTTGACTGAACCTATTAATTTCATAATCTCTTCAAAATATCATTTTTGAGGCCATAGATAGAACAGAAAGTTAAACTCATTCTAAATATTGCAGGCATAATTTGAATTTTAATTTTGTTTGGAGTGCTTAAAATTGACAAATGAAGAAGAAGGAATAGAGTGAACTCTCTGGTTAGATATTCCTGGCTTCCTAAGAATATTTTGGAGGTAATTTAAAGGCTAGACTTTAAAGTCTTTGTTTTCTCAATGACAATAGCAGGACATAACTGTTGTTTAAATCCTCTGTCATATGAAATTGAAATATCTTAAATCATCCAGTTGGGTGGAATTAACAAATAAAAAGACTTCCTGCTTTGAACCGAATAACTTTGCCAAACTGGCAGTCTTATTTTCCAAGGCTATGATTTATCTATGTTCCAAAAGGAAATCTGCTTTTTGCAATTTCAATGTGTGATACAAATGTGTTTAGATTGTGCATTTTGTATTTATTTTTGGGAATACTTATTACAATGCCAATGGATATGCCTTCTATCAAAGATGTGTGCTTCAGCAGCAGATGTTTAAATTGTATTTCCAATCTGTAGCTAGTAAAGTTATTTTTGTGTGTCAAAGTAAATAAATATAGAAGTTTGACTGATATGTTCCAAATTTACTCTAGCCTGAAGGAACTTAATATAGAACAATAAGAAATGAAGCATATATGTTGGCAAGTATTGTAGGAGAGAATGATCTAATACATAGAACATTTCTCAGTCAGCATAAACAGACACATGACACAAAACACACTACATAACACACACATGACAAAAAGTACATTACATAAGAGATAATCAAGTATTTTAAGAAGGTTATAGATAGGATACTGAAGAGGTGTGTGTGTGTGTGTGTGTGTG